TCCCTCAGACCCAGGAGTCCAGGCCCCCAGCCCTCCTCCCGCAGACCCAGGAGTCCAGGACCCCAGCCCTCTTTCCTCAGACCCAGGCCCCAACCCCTCCTCCCCCAGACCCAGGAGTCCAGGACCCCAGTCCTCCTCCCTCAGATCTAGGCCCCCAGCCCTCCTCCCTCAGACCCAGGGGTCTGAGTTGTCAGCCTTGCTTCCTCCAACTCTCAGGGTCTCCGTCCCCACCTCATCTCTGCAGCCCCATACTCACCAACAGCACCAGGCACCCCAAGGTCCCCATCTTGTCCACTGCCAGGAGGCCCCGTCTCTGCACCTCCCAGTGTCGTTCACATCTCAGAGCTTCCTCTTTCCCAGCCTCTCCGTGAGGTGTGAGGGGGGAAGTGGAGGTTCCCAGCGTGGGAGGGAGTCCGGCCCTCCATCCTCCCCCCGCCATGACCCTCCTCAGATAAGTCCCTCAGCTTCGTCCTCCCCTCAGCCTGAGATGCCCCGCCACCCACACTTCTGCTCCCTGGTCACATTCCCCACCCTCCCCTCCTGCCTCTGCACTCACACCTGCAGCTCTTTTCTCTCATCTCTTCTCTGTGTATCCCTAGGTCTCCTCTTTGCTGTAAGAATATTGAAATGCAGCCAGATGTGGTGGCTCACGCTTGTCATCCCAGCCCTTTGGGACACCGAGAGGACAGGATGGCCTGAGCCCAGGGGTTTGAGACCAGCCTGGATAACATGGCAAGGCCTCGTCTCTACAATAAATCACAAAGTAGCCAGGTGTGGTGGTGCACTCCTGTAGTTTCAGCTACTTGGAAGGCTGAGGCGGAAGGATCACCTGAGCCCAGCCGGTGGAAGCTGTGGTGGCCCTGAGCGTGCCCCTGAATTCCAGCCTGGGCAACAGGGTGAGACTACAACTCAAAAAAAAAAGAGTATTAAAATCCACATTATAAGGCCAGGCGTGGTGGCTCAAGCCTGTAATCCCAGTACTTTGGGAGGCTGAGGTGAAGGGATTGCCTGAGACCAAGGGTTCGAGACCAGCCTGGGCAACTTAGCAAGATGTTTCTACAATAAATCAAAAAAATTAGCCGGACTTGGTGGGGCACACCTGTGGTTTCACTACTTGTAAGGCTGAGGCGGAAGGATGACCTGAGCCCAGCAGATCGAGGCTGTAGTGGCCCTGAGTGTGCCACTGCACTTCAGTCTGGGTGACAGAATGAGACTCCGACTTAAAAAAAAAAAGAAATCCACGTTATAACTGTAGAAGTCTCCTTCTGTAATGGCCTCTAAAGGCACTTGACAGCATAGAGGTCTCCTCTCTGCCGTAAGAGTCTCTACAGGCACTTCATAGGCAGGGAAGTTGGGTATCTCCTATATGAGCCCCTGAAGGTACACTATGGGTGCACAAGTCTCCTGTCAGCTTTGAAAGTCCCTAAAAGCACGTCAAGCAGGTTCTTGGAGAGCAGCCTGGACCCTGCCAAGTCCTCAGATGGGAACACAGGGCCCAGAGGGAGGCTGTGGCACGAGGAGGTCTTGGGGCATACAGACAAGGACACGCCAGCTTCCTCCACCTCACTGCTGACTCCCAGCCCCTTGTACCCGGTCCTCTCCTCATGGTCCCTTCACGTCAGGTCCCCGACCTCCTCCCCTGATGTGACTGCAGGGGGTCGAGTCCCCTAAGAGGTATCCAGGTCTTAACCCCCAGCCCCCATGGACGTGACGGCACTCAGAAGCAGGGTCTCCGCAGATGTCATCAAGGATCTCGAGACAGGCTCTGGGTTGAAGGTGGCCCTGAGTCCAAGGGCGAGTGTCCTTAGAAGAGAGGACACAGGGGCAGCGAGAGAAGCCAGGTGAGGACGGAGTTTACATGGAGCGGCGTGACGTGGCCGCGAGCCCAGGGAAAGAGGGGCCCACAGGGAGCCACGGGGAGGCCGGGAGAATTCAGAGCGTGGCCCCGATGCACCTTGATTCTGACCTCGGAGCCTCCAGAGCTGTGAGGATCGGCTTACCTTGTTCCAGGTGCTGGGTCTGCAGAGACTCGTGACAGCAGATCCGGGAGCCCAAAGTCATGGCCGGTCTCTTCTGGGCCTCCATTTGGGCCAAACCTCACCCATAACAGGGGGTGACCCCCACCAGGGGGCTGGGAGTTACAGGCCACAATCCACCCAAACACATTTGTCTTTATTTTTATTTTATTATTTTAGTGGGAGTCTCACTCTGTCACCCAGGCTGGAGTGCAGTGGCAAGCTCATGGCCACTGGAGCCTCAACCTGCTGGGCTCAGATGATCTTTCCACCTCAGCCTTCCTAGTAGCTGGAACTACAGGCGTGTGCCACCACGTCTAGCTACTTTTTGATTTATTGTAGAGATGAGGTCTCACCATGTTGCCCAGGCTGGTCTCAAATCCACGGGCTCAGGCCATCTTCTCGCCTCTGCCTCCGCCTCCCAAAGTGCTGGGATTACAGGTGTGAACCACTGCACCCAGCTTTTTTTTTTTTTTTTTTGGAGTCGGGGTCTCACTCTGTCACCCAGGCTAGATTATAGTGGTCACTGCAGTCTTGACCTCTCAGACTCAGGCCATTCTCCCACCTCAGCTTCATGAGTAGCTGGGACTATAGGTAAGCACCACCACACCTGATTTTTGACCTTTTTTTTTAGAGCTGAGGTCTTGCTATGTTGCCCTGGCTGGTCTCAAAACTCCTAGACTCAAGTAATCCTCCCGCTTAGGCCTCCAAACATGCTGGGATTACTAGGCCTGAGTCCTGACCACATCGGCCTTTATTAACTGCAATGGTCAATCACACCGTCCTTCCCATGCCTCCCCCAAATAATGGCAACATGGACACTTCCACACCCACTTTTCCGAGGCAACAATACACTAGACTGTAAGCAGCAGGGAGGGGGCAGGCTGGCCACGGTGGCTGACGGGGCACATACAAGTGGGCTGGTGGCGGGGGACGCCCAGGTTGACGCCCAGGTTCTGGCTGAGCGCAGGACCCAGAATCAGACCCAAGGGAAGGCAGCTGGACGGCGGCAGTGGCCTTGGAGTCCCCCGAGTGGCCTCCAAGCATCTTGCATGTTGGTGGCAGTGGTGCCCGCAGGGTGGCTTCAGGGAGCCCCGCCACCGAGGGCACTGCCCGGGCTGAGGGCATCTGGGTGGCGTGAGTCCCAGCGGGAGGGGCAGGCGTGGACGGCGGCCCAGGAGCCCTAGTCAGTCGGTCTTGGGCCCTGGGTGCCCGAGGGCTGATAGTGCCAGGAGGAGCTGGGCAGCGTAATAGGTGGCCATGATCACCAGACGGGCGTGGGGCAGGGACTGGGCGAAGGCATCCCAGGCCAGCACGCCGTCCGAGAGCACGAAGAGCACGGTGCCCCAGGCGGTGCTCCCGCCCCGCGCCAGGCCACGCCACAGCACAGCGGTCAGGACCAGCCCGTAGGCCGTCACCGGCGGGATCATGTCTGGGGGTAGCTGCAGCAGCAGGAAACCCAGGTACGGAGTGGAGGCCAGCAGAACAAGCAGCAGCAGGCCCGGCTTCAGGGGAGCCAGGCCGAAGGCCCAGAGGTAGAAGAGGTGGGCCGTGGCGAAGGCGGCCATGCCTGGCGGGGGGGTTGAGCACTGGTGAGGGGGCCTGTCCTGGGAACTGCCCCAGGGCTCCTGTCTTCCTTGATGCCTCGGCCACCAGGCGACCCCTATAGACCATCCCCAAGTACCAGCCTCCCTGGCAGTTCCCAAAACGCAGTGTCACATCCCTGCCCTGCTGAGAACACCTGCCGGCAACAACTGCCCATTGTGCTCGGGAGGCCGTCGTACCCTCCAGCCTGCCAGGCACCCAGCACGCCCCTACCCCAGGGCCTTTGCACTGGCTGTTCCCTCTGTGGGGGAGGGGGATGCCCTTCCCCCACACGTGCACACGGCACCTCCCTCAAGATTTTGCCAAACATTACTTCTTCAGTGAGGTCGTCCTCAGTCACCCTACTTTAGACTGTAACAACCCCGTCTTCATCTTCCTCTATGCCACCCCCACCCCTGACCTGACACCGCCTGCCCTGCCCCTCGTTGGAGCTCCCAAGTTCCCACAGGAGCTCCCCTGCACCCCAGGCTCTGTGCCAGTGCTGTCCAACCTCCCCACGTGGGTGGGTCCCTGCTCACCATGGAGAAAGGCCTCAGGCCAGATGAGGCAGGCATCCCCCACAGCCGAGCACACAAGAGCTCCCTGGAGGAGCCGGACATAGCCCCTGCCCGAGGGCACAGCCTCCAGGAACCCGGCGAGGCAGAGGACGGGCAGGCACTTGACCAGGGCGCTGACCCAGGATGGTTGGTCCTCGGGTATCCAGAGGAGGAAGTAGGTGCAGCAAGCAAGGAGAAAAGGGCTCAGCCACCTGCAGACAGCTGGGTGCTGTGGAGAGGGGGTCACTGAGCTGGAGCTCAGCCCGGCCTGGATCTTGCCGTGGCCTGGCCGGGACTCAACTCCCCCTGCCTCTGTCCACCCTGACGGGGCCCGAGCTGCCCAGGGTGGGCCTACTCAGAGACGTGGCTCTTCAGGCTGCTGGCAACCCGTCACCCGGGCCTCTGGTCACAAGGGCCTCAGGCCCCCATCACCCGGCCTCCTGGGGCCCCAAGCAGCTCCCAGGAGGGTCTGCCCCCAACTCCCACCACCCCGAAGTCTGGCTCTCACTTGGACTGAGCCGTGGGTTCTCAGGAGCGGCCCCTTCTTGCCAGCATCCATGTTGGCCTGCAATATCCCCCCAAGGCAGTTACATATGGGCGCTGGCGGCCCCAGGGGTGCAGGGCAGGCCCATGGTTACACGTTAACTCGAGGAGCGTCCTGTGGACTCTGCGACTGATAACAGGCCCGGGGAGATGCGGCCCCCACCCTAGGGATGGCTTCGCCTGGCACCACTGATAAGGTGCCTGTCAGGGCCCAGGGTCACTCTGCCACAGCCCCTGGAACGTGACTCCCTCCTCCTGTCTGCAGGGGTGAGGCTCACAGGTGCCTCCCATTGTCTTGGGCCCAGTCAATCAGGAGGACAGGGTGCAGACGGCCACCCAAGGGAAATCAGGAGGGGGGCTGGCCGCCAGGACCACCCCAGAGGGACGGGAGGGAAGCACCCCCATGCGCCACCTGTCTGTCTCTCCCTGCTTCAACCCTCCTCTGTCGGCCCAGAGGCCCTAGGCCCTGGTGGCTGCTGTCACCAACAGCAACTCGATGGAGGATGGAGGGACGCGTGAATGCCTTCCAAACCAACAGGAACCGCAATGAAGATGCTGTCCAAGCCCCAGCCCCAAGACAGGCTTCCAGAGTGACATTCACCTCCCCCTGACAAGCGCAGCCCGGCAGGGCACCAGGGCCTGGCCTCACTGCCAGGACTGTTTACCGGGGAAGGAAGGGGACCTGTTGTATGCCCACACCACCCGTAACAGCTCTGCTTTCCACCAGCCCAACAGGCAGCTCTATCCTTCCTCCCAGTGGGGATGGGACTTGTCAGGAACCCCCCCCAGTCGGTGCCCACCTGGACTCTGCTGCCATGGGGCTCACTCCCAGGGCACAGCACCTGGCGACTTCCCAGCCAGTCCCCAGTCTGTGGGGCAAAGACTGGGCCGGGAGCACACCAGCCCAAACACGTGGCATGAGCACACGTGGGGTTCAAATTGGAAAAGGAGAAGCCCTGAGCGACAGCTCCTGGGGGTCCCTTCCTCTGGGAAGTCCCTGCCTGGTCCAAGTAGAAGTCACTCCCACTGTGGGGCAGGTCTGGGCCTGCCACAATACTCAGAAGCACAGTCTCACACGAGCCACAGAGAGTCTTGCAGTGGGCATGGGGACCTGGGGCCCAAGACCAGGGTACAGGGCCAGCAGGGACTCACGCTACCCACATCCCAGAACGCAAGGTCTGACCAGCAGCATCGTAAACTGTCTTTATTTATATTTGCAATATGAAATAGAAGCTCGGCATGAACGCACACACACTCACGCCCGCCTGGGAGGAGGGAGCTGGGACAAGGCCACTTGGCAACAGGGCTGGGCCCAACACTCGGCGCAGGGGCCCACTGAACCCCCTTTCAGGGCCCCTGGGGTGTTGCAGGGAGGCCTCTGCGACCCAGAGCTGGGCCAGCCTGGGCAAAAGTGCAGGGTCTGGACAAGGCACGGCCCCACTGGGCCCTGACACCCCTTAATGCCGTCCCCACGGTGGACCTGAGCTGAAAGGCTGGGGTGGGCATGGGCGTCTGCACCAGGACAGGGGGCGGCGGCCTCGGGACCCCAAGCCCAGCTCCACGGGGCCAGGCAGAGGGCTGTGCCTTGGAGCCGCCTTCAGCACAGCGCGCCTCCTCATGCCCTCCCGATAGACCTGTGACATAATATACGGCTCTCCCGTGCGCTACTCCACTCTCTATCTTTATTCTAGGAGGCGAGGCTCCGAAACTTCTCTTCTCAGTGCAAATGGGGGGTAGGGCCCGTCTCCCTGGCACCAGCCTCCTGGGAGTCCAGAGGAGAGGATGTGGGGGGTGAGGAGGACAACGGGGCCATCGTGGGACCCGCCCTGCCCCCACCCGGGGGTCCACGAGGAGGACGGAGGATTCGGCCACCGCTGCGACCAGGCAGCTACCTGGGAACAGAGGATGTCGTGAGGATCAGTGAACAGGCTCCACCAGCCCGCCCCAGCTGCAGCCGCACTCACTGGGAGCCCGGGGGTGCGGGCCCTCCAGGGGCAAAGCTGCAGGGCATCGGAGGAAGTTCGAGGGCCTGAGCACTGTGAAGAGAGAGTGGACACCCAGGGTCAGCCCAGCCCTGCTGGCCCAACCCCACCCCACCTGCCACTGGCTGCTCACCTCTGGCTTTGGGGAAGCCCCAAGGATTCTGGGGTCTTCTCCCCCTCTGTGTTCTGGGGGAGCTGGTGGACCCCGGAGACTGGGACAGAGGTAGAGGGGTCTCTGGTTGCACTGTGGGCAAGTGCAGGCATAGCGGTCAGCGCCTGCCCCTCTGGCTTGCTCTGGGTGTCTGCACCGGGCCCACCAGGAGGGACTCACAGGAAGGTGAGGGTGGGGGCTGTGCACTGAGTGGCTGTGGTCACACTCAGACACCCGGAAGGATGTAGACAACGGAGCACCAGAGGTCACACAGCCCTGGGCAGGGGACTGGCAACCCCTTCGTGCTTCACAGTGGTACCCCAGGAGCTGGTTCCTGTGCCGAGACGTGCCCACAGGATACCCCCACCGGCTCCTGCCCTCCTGAGCCTTTGCACCCACCCGAGCCACTCCCGACCCCAGGGTTGCAAGGGCCTCATACCCCAGGCCATCCAAGGAATAGCCTGCAGGGTACAGGGGCTGGGGGTCCTGAGGGGCAACCTGGAGCAGCTCAGGGACAAGCCAAAGCCAGGCCCACCTCACCCAAAAGGAGGAGAAAGACTTCTGGCACCAAACCCTCCCCTTAGCAGTCCCCACGCTGCCCACTCTCACCTGTCCAAGGAGCTGGGAGCAGAGCCAGTCCTGTGAAGAGTGACCTGGAGGTCCCTGGCGCTGACCAAGGCCTGGCAGGGGGCTGTGGAAGTGCGAGAGGCCACATCTCAGCCGCTGCCCAGAGAGCTGGCCAGGTGCTCTCGCCACGGCCCCCGTGGGCAGGGTAGAGAGGCTCACCTGAGGGTTCCGCTATTTTGCTGCCACCTGTGGCTTCCTGAGGTGCTGAGGGGGGTGAGGAGTCCTGAGACCTGGAGAAGAGAGGCAGTACAAGGGGCGTGGGGGTCAGTGCTCAAGGCTGGCCTGGGAATCCCAGAACCATCTGCCCATGCCACCCCGCCCTCACCTGAGCTGCAGGCCGTCACAGGCCGTGGGGCTGGCTGGGCTCTGGGTGAGGGGGCTCTGGGGCACATCGAGGGGCCCCTGTGAGGCTGGGGGCCCGGAGCACAGCTCCTCCTCCCTGGAGACTCGGGGGCCAGCAAGGGCATCCATAGGCACTGGGTCAAAGGTGGCTGTCCAGCTGGAACCTGGGGCACAGGTGGGGGACGGGATAGAGGGTGAGCTCAGACAGGTGGCCTCCCGGGTGCACTTGCCCACAGCGGCCCGTTCACGCACCTGGAGGCTGAGGGCTGGGGTAAGAGGAGGGGCTGGCCCCTTCATGGGCTGCCCGGCCATCACCCTCCTCCTCGTCATCCTCCTCGTCCTCTTCCTCATCCTCACTGTCTGTGCTGCCTCCACTCCTGCCCGTGAAACTGTCAGTCAGCAGTGTGGGACAGCCCGGCTGACACCCGCCACTCCCTCCACAGTCTGGGCCCAGCTGGAGACATCTGCTGGGCAATGGGCAGGTCAGGAGGGGCCCAGGAGCCCAGGGTGTGAAGGCACCAGGAGGACTGGGAGGAGGAGTCGTGGGCTCCATGTGAGAGCACAAGTGGGCAGGACTGCACACAGCTGCGAAGATGGCAGTCAGCCCTTGACCACACAGGACACAGGATGGGCCTCAGGAAGGGCGCCAGGATGCGGCTGCAGCAGCCAGGGCAGATGGACCAGTCGGCCACCTCTCAAGCCACCTCCTGGCCACGGTCACCAATGCCACCTACTCACAGGCCACCGGACCCACCTCTGGATGAAGGGTTTACTTGGCTCTCTCCCTCCAGCTAGGAGCTCCGGGAAGGCAGAGATGGCTGACTTTCGCCACTGCCGTGTCCTCAGTCCTGGGAACACCAGGCACCTGTAGCTGCTCTCAAAGTCCTAGCTGAGTGCTAATATACAACGGGGACTGTGTTGAGAGCCCGTCACCCACATGGCCCTCAACTCCAGTCACACATTGCCTAACGGCAGGGACACATTCTGAAAAATGCAGCACTAGGCAACATCGCCAACAGTGTGGCCGTCACAGAGTAAACTTGCACTAGCTGGTGGGGCCTCTGCACACCCAGGCTGCCTGGTGCCGCCCACTGCTCCTGGGCTGCAGCCTGCACGTGTGACCGCAACGAACACTGCAGGCAGCTGCAGCATGATGGAAAGGATCTGAGCCAACACAGAAAGGGGGCCGAGCATGGTGGCTCATGCCTATAATCCCAGTTCTTCGGGAGGCTGAGGAGGGAGGACTGCTGGAGCCCAGGAGTTGGAGGCTGTGGTGAGTCATGACCGTGCCACTGCACTCCAGCCTAAGTGACAGAATGAGACCCTGACTCAAAAGAAAAAAACCTACAGACACTGTCAGAATCCATACATGAGTTCAGCAAGGCTGAAGAACACACAATCAGTATATTAATACATAAACCCACGAGATTTCCATATGCTTGTGGCAAATAATCGCCAAATGATTTTTTAAAAATTCCATTTACAATAGCGTCAAAAAGAATAAAATATTAAGAGTAAATTTAGGCCAGGCTCGATGGCTCAGTCTATAATCCCAGCCTATAATCCCTTTGGGAGGCCAAGGCGAGTGGACTGCCTGAGCCCGTGGGGTCGAGACCAACCGGGACAACTTGGCGAGACCTCATCTCTACAATGAATAAAAAAATTAGCCAGGCATGGTAGTGCATGCCTGTAGTTCCAGCTACTTGGAAGGCTGAGGTGGAAGGATCACCAAAGCCCAGCAGGTTGACACTAGGGTAGGCTGTGAGTGTGCCACTGCACTCTAGCCTGGGTGACAGAGTGAGACTCCAATTCAAAAAAAAGAAGAAAAAATTTAACAAAGGAAATACAAACCCTGTATTCTAGAAACTATAAAACATTGTTCAAACAGATGTTAAAAGGTCTAAATAGAAAGGTATCCCATGTTCATGAACTGGAAGACATAACACTATGAAAATAGCAATAGTTCCCAAAGTGACCTACAGATTCAGTGCAATCCCATCAGAACCCCAGCTTCTTTGCTGAAACAGATTAAGCTGATCCTAAAATTCATATGGAATCTCAAGGGATTCCTGAATAGTCAAGACGATCTTGAAAAAGACGAACCAGATTGGAAGACCCACACTTCCCATTTCTAAAACGCACTACAAAGCAACAGCGTGGCCCTAGATAAAGACAAACATAGACAGAAGGAACAGAATAGCGAGACCAGAATGAGGCCCTCACACATACATATGCATATGGTCAAGTGATGTTTTACAAGAATGCCACGACAATTCAGTAGAAAAAGGACAGTGTCTTCAACAATCGGTGCCAGGAAGAGTGGTTATCCACACGGACGCAAGGATTAACGTGGGACCCTACCTCATACCACACACAAAAATTAGCTCAAAATGGATCCAAAAACCATAAAGCACCATAAAACTCTGAGAAAAAAGCAAAACGCTAAGTTGTGATGCTGGATTTGTACAACACTCATGCACCAGTGACATGGGAGCAACTCACATTCTCAGCAGCTACATTCACAACAGTGAGCTACGAGAGTCTCCCAAGAGCCCACAGCAGAGGCACCACCAACCCATCAAAGCTTGCCAGCACCACGGCACACCTGCCAAGGGTAGGGCAAGACCGAGGCAAAGTCAGACGCACCAGCATGAGAAAGGGGCTCAGTGCTAAGATGCCATGTGCTCATATAAAGTGGGAAAAGAGGCAGAACCATCCTATGGGCAAGCCGGGACAGTGCTACCCTCGGGAGGGAGGATCCTGGCTGGCAGGGACATGATGGGTGTGCTGGGACGGTCATGCTCCTGGGCACTGACAAAGGGGTGTCCACACACTTGTCTATAAGCATGTGACATGTCAATAACAGTTAGAACAAAAGGCTCTCATTCCCAGATCAAAAAGCTCTGAGCTGCAGCCCACAAGTGGGCTTCATGCCAACAGATCGACTTGCATGAATCCAACTCATCACCGCAATGCTGGGGCCAGCCAGTCTAGAGAAATACCATGTCACATGTGTACAAAGAACCTGGCACAGCCTAACTGGAGGGGGACATCATCAGCTCTCATTCTGCTGGAATTAGGGAAAGAAGCTTCCTGGGACCTTCTTACTCCTTTTGGGGAAATGTGCATGAGCATCACGGGGAAAGCGGAGTCGAGGGATGGAGGGACGGAGCTTGCAGATGAACCAGGCCAGGCCACACCAGGAGGCCCTGCCTGTTTTTCCAGCCACAGATGGCCCTTTCCTCTCTGTAGCTTACTAGATTTCTACCACTCAGCGTTCAAAGTGCCTCCAGTAGATACACAAACACATCTTTCTCTCATTCACTTTAGCCTCAATCCAAATGTGTGTGGAGACCCCTGTGGCCCCACTGCACGGTGGAAGCTGGAAGAAGGGAGGCTGGCAGGGGACTCACCGCACACCGGGGGGCTGGCCCAGATGGGCGCCCCTGGCCAGCTGGCGGCCCTGCCAGGTGCCGTCCTCTCCGTCAGACTCCCCCGAGCCCTGGCCCTCCTCCTCGTCCTCCTCCTCGTCATCATCGAACTGCTGAATGCGATCCTTGTAGCATATCTCAAGCAGGTTGGCATTAGGCTGCAGGGCAGGCGGGAGGATGGGCTGCACTGTCTCCAGCACCCGTGCCCCCCACCAGCTGCAGCCAGGGACAGGCAACACTCACGTTCTCGTCGTCAGCGTTGAGGGAGAAGGTGATGTTGGCTGTCTTGTCAAAAGGTGCACTAGGAGAGAAAACAGAGGGTGCTGAGGGGGAAGGGCACGCGGGGGCAGGGGCAGCACAGGATGAGGCCACACCTCTCCGCTGACCCTCACTCCCTACATGGTCCGCATCTGCACGCTCACCCACTTCCCAAAACACATCTGTCACCCCAGCACAGGATGGCTGCTATGGATGTTTGCAGAGCCGCCAGGCACACGTGGTCCCAGCCGAGGTCCAAGAAGGCCACGCTCTGCCCTCTGGCCTCAGCCTCCTGTAGATACCTAGAGGATGGGGCTGGGGGCACGGGCTGCGCAAGCAGCTCCAGCCCCAGGGGTGGGACAGTGTAACTCCTCTCTGGTCCTAGTGCTGGGGCAGCCCCAGGAGACTTCCACTCATAAAACCAAGGAACAGTCTGCCTCAACCAGCATTTGAGGACTCGAGTTAACCACCACATGAGATGTTTGTGTGTGTATGGATGCTGCCTAGGACCCAGCATCGGCATTCACAGCCCCTTGACACAACGCACTGCTCCATCCTGTGCTGGTCTCCTGTGCGGGCCTCCAATGACACCAGCAGCCACACACCACTTAGGTGAAACCAATGAAAAATGCAAGCACACCCCTCTGACCTGCCCATGTCAGGACGCTTAGTTCCACGGCTGTCGTCCTCCCTCTCGCTTTCTGTGAGAGTGGGCAGAGCCAGAGAAAGGGAGGCAGACTGGCTAGTGCTTACTTCTGGAAAGCACTGGAAAGATCCAGTCAAGCACGAACATGGGTTGCCGATACAACAAAACTCATACAACCAGAGCACAGGCTACGGCATGAGAAAGCATGTTTCTTAATCTTAAGATGCCTACTGCCTGTGGCTGAATTTCTAAATTATGGGTAGAAGGCACCTCTTCTGAACTTAAACAAAATGCTCCCACCAGGACCCCACAAGTCCTGACATGGGGGCCAATGGTCAGGGACCTGCTCTGCCCATGTGCTAGGGACACTTTAAGGGATCACTATCTCACATCACAAAACATTCTGCCACAAAGATCCCAGGTCCTGACCAGACACCAAGCATGTGACAGGCACTTGTGGACCTCATGCTCACAGCTGCCCACACAGGCACTGCACATGGGCACTGTCCTATCTCCTTCCTAAGCATGGAAACCAGCGGCGCTGAGGCCGTGCAGGCACACAGCTGATGTCTCGCTGCCCCGGCCGCCTCTCAGGTGGCCCTGCTTCACCTGCGACAGGAGCCCCACAGGGCAGCCTCTGGATTATCCAAACAGTCATCCACCTTCCATTCTAGAACTCTTTCTTGGTGTAGTCTGTTTTCATTTAAAGTTCTCCATCCTACTGGGATTATCTTGGTGGAGAAAGAGGTAACACAGCTTCGTCCCAGAAAGGCAGTAGTCACCCCAACACTACTCACTAGTCTGTCCATTCCATCCTCCTGCTCGGTGTGGGCCTCTGACCAGCAGTGACCGACACTTTGCAAGGCCCCATGCTGGGCACAGAGGCAGCAAACATGAAATCTTACCTGAGGGATCTCAGCGAGGCCACAGCTGACCGCTGGCTGTCACAGGGCCCCCTCCCCTGTGTTGCACAGAGACCACAGGGCGACCACGGGCAACAAGCCAGCTTCCATGCTATCCAGCTATGTCCCGAGGCCTCAGTTTCTGTGGCTATAACCGGGCTCGGGAGCCCTGCTGCCAAGGTGGTCGTGGGAACACCATGAGAAAATATCCAAGAGGAGCCCAGAGCAAATGTGGGGCAGGCCCCCTGCTCTCATCTCTGCCCCAGTCAGCTGTCCATGCCAGCACCCCGCTCCTGCACAGTCTAATCACAGGAAGTCTCCATGTCCTGTCTCCAGTGGCGGTGGCCTCCACATCTTCCCAGTGACACATGGACTTGCCCTTTGCAGTCATCCCCTTCTTGGGGACACCTCTGTTCCCCTCAGCAGCGCCTCACCATGCAGCCTCCTGACCCCATCCACGCCCTCCAGGCAGACAGGCTGGTGCAGGGACTTCTGGGAGGCCACAGCTACAAATGAGGCCCAGCAGGTCGGAGTGGCTCTGGCAGAGGTACAGGAGCTGCTGTCTGCCATCTCAGCGAGCCCTGCCTCCCGCGAGTACCCCCACCCTCCTGTCCTGGCCTCCCAACCAGACTCCCGGTCACCTTCCCTTCGCTGCCTCTGCAGACACCAGGTTGCTCATGCAATTAGTTTACAAAATATGAGCAAATTTTAACTTTTTTCTCTGACTGCCTGTGGCAGAAAATTCAACAAACAGAAGTTCGTGACCACAGCACCCAGATTGACCAATGTTATGGCACTGTCCCACAAACAGAAAGGAGCAGGACTGGTAGTTAGAAAAGTCTCTTGTGGGCCCAGTGCTTGGTGGACCCCTGCTCTCCAACAAAGGCATCCTCAGAGGCTCAGCTCTGCCCCACAGCCCCCTCGTCAGGACCCGCAGCCCCCAAAACCCTGAGTACCACCCTGCCCTGGAGATCCCAAAGCTGAGCCCTGGGGGGAGTCTGCTCTGCACCCCAACCACAGAGATGTTTGTCCTCGCCTTCACGGCACTCCTCATGGAGGGGAGGTTGCAGGGCTAGAACTCAGCTGAGAGGAGGTAAGACACACAAGGCCACAGCCAGGGCGTGCCCAGAGGGGTGGCAGAGGTGGGCGCAGGCGCCCACAGGGAGGCAGGGCAGAGCTCCAACCCACGCCAGGACACTCACTTCACACTTTCCTCTTGCTCCCCAAATTCCTCGTCGTTGAAGCCAAAGTGGTCGATGAAGGCGGAGGTCATGCGCTGCATCTGGAAATCCATGAAGGCCTGTGGGGACGCAAAGGTCAGGGTAAAGAGTTGGGCAGGCCGGCCTCTACCCAGCACGGCCCAATGCGGCACAGGCCCACCTGCTGCAGCACGGCCTCCTCAGGAAAGCTGAACTCCTTGAGACGGTCGTCTTCGTCGTCGCTGGAGGAGTGCAGGTGGTGGGTGTTCACCTGAGGGGGATGGGCGTCAGGGCTTGCAGAGTCACACCAGGGGGGGCAGAAGTGGCCAGGTGCGAGGGGAGGTTGCGGCAGCACAGGGTGAGAGCAGCTGGGTCTCACCAGGTCCACCATGTTCTTCTTGTTGGTCTCTGCTAGGGGTCCTGACACGAAGGCCTCCCACTGCTCCTGCTGGTCGCCGGGCAACTCTGAGAAGAAGGGCGAGGACGTGAGCACCCTGCCTCCAAGCTCCCCACGTCCCCCGGCTGGGCCGGCCCCTCACCCTTCAGCAGTTGGCCCAGCTGTTCGGCATTGGGTCCCTTCTCTGAGTTCTGCACCAGGGCGTTGGCCACTCTCGTCAGGTGGCCCATGTAGCCTTTCCGAGGGCCGCCCCCAGACCTGGGCGAGAGCAGAAGCCGCAGCTAGAGGCAGAGGTGGCGAGCCCTGCCGCTCCCCTCCCCCTGCAGCCCCCTGCGGCACCCACTGCATGCGCTCATTCTCCTCCCAGGATGTCAGGATGCGTTCCACCAGGCGACACCGCTGCAGCAGCTGCAGAAGAGGATGGCAGACTTGGAATCTGCTTGTGTGGGGCGCACTCAGCAACACAGCAGGCCCCTTCCCCACAGGCGCCTCACCAGGCCCCAGCTCACTCACCCAGGGGTGAGGGAGAGGGACAGAGACTGGGCCCCACCCCCTGGTCCACCCAAGTCCCAGGTCTTTCTCCAGGGAGCATATGTGGCCACACACACCCCAACACACACACACTTGGCGCACACAGGCCCACCCCATTTCCACCCTCCAGCTCAGGGCAGTGTTGTCGCCTCCATGACCTGCACCTGACACCCTGCAGACGCTTGTGGGGGTGGGGGGGAAAGGGGGCACAGAGGGCAGGCCTCGAGGTGGTGCACCTGGTGCACCCAGGGGGACAGCCGAGGGAGGGAACCCAGGAGCCCAACTCACGTGCTTCACAACGGGGTTCTGGATGGGCGTCTCAGAGCTGCCATTGGGAGGGGTCCCTGAGCCCAGCATGGTGCTCACACAGCCCTCCACTTGGGCATGCAGGAAGTTGTTGAAGACGTAGTGGAAGAAGAGGTCCTGGGGGGGGGACACAGGCTGGCACAACAGAGGCCTCATCCCAGCCCTAGCACTACCCAAGCCCCAGCCCCATCCCTGTCCCCGTACCAGCATGGTGTTAGGTACATCCAGTGCCAGAAGCTCCTGCGTCAGGGCTGCGTCATTGGTGCTCAGGGCGCTGGCCAGGAGCTTGACCACATGCAGCCGTGTGTTGCCCAGCGGTGGGGCCAGATCACCCCATGTCATCCTCAGCGATTCCAGCTGCAGTGCAGGGAGGTTTGGTTCCTGAGGACTGCAAGCCCTGCCGCCACCGCCTCCCCCAGGTCCTTGACCCTTCCCTGACCTTGGGTGGCTCAAGCAAGAGCTGGTGGAAGCAGCCAAGCCGTGGACGCAGGGCATGCAGGGCGCCCACACTGGACACAGTGCTGTCCAGGGCCCCCTGGGCCAGCAGCTCCAGCTGTCCATCCACACTGCTGAAGAAGTTGTTCATGGTCATGGACTCGGACCTGCAGCAGGGCGGGGTCGAGGGCAAAGTGAGTCCTGCATGGTGTGTGCCCTGCTCAAGTGTACGAGAACCACGTCTGGAGGACTGAGGAGCCATCATGGGCTCTTGGGCACTGCTCTCCTCTGGAGCCCTTTGAACAGTCCAGACAAGCCAGCAGGGCAGGACAGTGGCGCCTGCTGCCATGGGGTGGGGAGCCAGGTGGCGTCTACGGTCCACTAGGGGAGAGGGTGGAGACAGGAGGAGAGCACCACAGGCGAGCGGCCCAGCAGCCTGTGAGGGCAGCTTGGGGTCCCGATCCTCAAGCTGTGGGGGTGGGCTCGGCCTCAGAGCCCTCATTTGTCAAACGGGACAGGAAGACTCATCTCCCACCGAGAAGGGGACAGTCAGTTACCGTGTAGCTTCACACAGTAGATGCCCAACCTGTGTCCCGGAGCCCCCAGGAGAACGGCCCCTCACCTTGGCCTCCTGGGCTCCAGCAAGGTCAGCAGCACCTGGATCCCACTGACGATGACAGATGGGCTCTGCTCGCCCTCAAACATGTTGCTCAGGAGCTGCTCGATTGTCTCCTGCCTGGGGTTGGGGGAGTCAGGTGCGGGGCGGGCCCCTGGGACCCCGAGGATGCCCAGACCGGCCCCACCCACACACCCACCTCTCCAGGGTGGCCAACAGCTGGTCGGGCTCTGGGCTGTCCTGGCCCTGGATCACCTGCTCCCGGCTCAGGCGGATGATGTCGCACAGGGACTGGGATGCGTTGGAATGTTGCTGGGACGAGAGACACACGAGGACCCGGTCAGGCCATGTGGCCTCCACAGCTGGTGCTGGGAGCCCCCCACAGGCTGGCCACCACCAGCCCTCAGGCCAGGGAAGGATGCAGACACGGGGACGCACGTGTCAGGGAGGAGGGAGTGGAGGCACCAAGCGCTGGAAGACAGAGTAGAGCCCACAGGACCAAGGAGGCTCCTGGGAGGAGAGGCCCACACAGGCCACACACGGATGGCAGCACCACCCACAACCATCTGGCGAGTGGACACGCCAGGCCTGGTCTCTCCACACGGGGGAGCACTGCTCAGCAATGATGGGAGGTGGTACCTGACACATTATGCTAAGGGAAAGAAGTCAGATGCAGACCATAGGGTGTGGGACCCGGCAATAGGTCAGGAACAGAACAGGCAAACCCAGAGAGACCAGGTAGTGTGGGGCTGCAGGGGCAGGAGGGCAGTCGGGGACTGCAAATGGGGATAGTTTCAGAGTGATGAACACTATTCTAAACTCAACATGGTGAAAGCATGATGGCATGAATACATAAAGGCCGCCATGCGACCACAGGTAAACCTGAGTGAAGCAGCTACCAAGGGACAGAAATGCACAAGCAAAGCCGAGTCAGCAGGCCCAACCCATGGCTCACAACAGACTGCCACAAAGGCCTGGATTGCCACGGCTCACAGTGGATGGCCCCAGAGGCCTAAATGGCCACAGCTCTCCAGGACGGGGCTGGCCTGGGTGAGTCTGGAGCCATGTCTCTGCTCTGCAAGTTCCTGATCCTCTCGGAAGCCAAGACCAGCACAGGGACAGGCCACTCTTGGTGGCCTCAGGGACATGAAGCTCTCAATGAACACCCAGCACTGGGGCAGAGGTAAAGGAGACCCAGGCTGGGAAAGACAGACTTGTGGCATCTGGGCTTTGGGGAGGACATGGGAGCTTGACAGGAGAGCTGCCAAGTGGCCTTCTGGAGGACAGGCAGGAGACAGAAAAAGCCACCAGCCCCAGCAGCCAGCACAGGCCCTGGGGAGGACCCTTCCCCTCCAGGGTGTGTACCTACTCCCGCCTCATGAGGGAGGCCTCTGAGTGGGGAGAAGCCCTCCTCTCCAGGGCACGGGCATGCTGGGCCCCCACGCTCCACTCCTCACCCACTCTGGGAAGGGGTGGGCGTGGGGTGGCCCTCACACTCACGCTGTCGTCCTTCGCCGGGTGGATCTGCTCGATCAGCCGCTGCACAATCTTCTCCTCATTCAGCCACTGCGAGCAAGCGGGCACTGTCACCGGCTCCTCACCTGGCTCATCCCGCCTACCTGCCCACCCGCCACCAGGGAGGCCCGCTCACGTTGACCACGTCCTGCCTCAGCTGGGGCCGCTCCACGCAGGTGAGCAGGCGCAACAGGAGGTCCATGATGGCCGAGGTGCCGATGTGCTGCAGCAGCAGGTCCACGAAGTCGTCCTTCTTCCGCAGGAAGGACACGAGCTGCGGGCACAGGGCCGCGTCACACCCAGGGCCATCCACCTACCCCAGTACCGCACGGGAAGGCTGCAGCACCTGGTCTGTCTTGCGGTTGATGAGGATGCCCATGACCTTGCTGAAGAAGCTGGCAAGCAGCGGGTTGAGGCTGCCGCTGCTTTGCAGGAAGCCGTAGAGCCGGTTCAGGAGGGACTCGTCGGCGCCCAGGGCGTCATTGATCTGGGGCACGTCCGAGGTCAGGATCTCACAAGCCACGCTGGGGTACCTAGGAAGCAAGCATGGGACGGGGGGCTCTGGCAGGCAGGGGACCCCGGTCAGGAAGGGAAGGGGCCCCAGAGGGGCAAACGACAGGGTGAAGGGGAACGAAGGCCCTCCCGGGGCCACCTCTGCCCCAACACCCCAGCGCACCATGAACCCTGAGACATGAGCCTGGTCCTGAAGCATATCTCCTTACCCCTCCCCCTCCAAGAATGCCTCCTGTTCTGCTCCTCGATGGCCCCACATGCCACCCCAGCCCCAATGACCTTGCTCATTTAACCTCATCTGCAAACACACATAGTGCCTGACAGTTCCCAGGACAAAAGCTGCCCCACCCAGGGTGCCCACCAAGGCCCTGTGGGGCGACCAGTTCTGGCCTGACCCACCCATCCACTGTGGGCCCTTGCAGGTGCCTCCTCCCCTGGAAAGCGGGCTCCTTGGGGCAGGGACCCCAGGGTCAGAAGGGCACAGGAATCAAATGCAGGCTGCTTCAGTGTCCCCTGCCGTGCTGTGAGAGCCTGGTCCACACCCATGGGCTACTGGCCAAGGCAGGGTGGAAGGGAAGGACAGGGGCTCTGGGCAGAAAAAGGTCAGAGCGACGGAGGGAGAGAAGACACAGGGGGGTGGCACCCGACAGATGAACACTGGGGAGCACGAGGACACAGCCGGCCTGCCAGAGGTGCCAGTGGCAGCAGGGGACCCACCAAGCCCCATCTTCCAGGCTGGCAGGCCCCAGCCTCCGCAGAGACACATGTGCACAGTGGAGGGGGGGGGGTAGGGACTCAAGGGACCGTGAGTGCCAGAGATCAGGGTAGATGAGCCCTGGCTCTCCCACAGGACCTGCCTGCCTAGGCCTGTCTCTCCACATGGCACTCGGAGTCACCCTGCTGCAGGGAGTAGTAGGCAGGAGGTGGCAGTTGCCCGAGTTGGGCACAAAGGTGGCATGGGCAGGTAGACACAGCACTGCCCTCATGCCACTCTTAATGCAGAAGGGAAATGAACAACTCCCAGGAGAAGCTGTCACTGTCCTGAACGACGTGCTCTAAAACCACACGAAAGCTGCACAGGCCATCCCATGTGCAAGGGCGAGTGCTTGCTTGGGCTTGGAACGTGGTGGCTGAGGCCAGCCTTGGTGCCACCTGGCTACTCAGCCTCCACGAAAGGAAAAAGACCATGATCTTCCATGCAGCAGCTCAGAGGCGTCTCCGGAGAATCATGCTGAGAAAAAGCTAATCCCAAAAGGTTGCCCATTACATGGTTCACTTTTCATTTTTCAAATGGCAAAGCTGTATAGAGGACAGATAAATGACTGCCAGGGGTCATGGCCGCGTGAGAAGAGGCCAGTGTGGATCCTCGTGGAGACAGGGAGCTTAGGAAGTCCCGGGGTGGTGGACACAAACCTCCAAGGGCAGTAAACTTTACCCACAGGCACACAGAGGACCACACAGCCAAGAATGCTCATTTTGATGGTGGACTGCACCAATGTCCCCTCCTGGATGTGATATCCTACTATAGTTTGGCAAAATGTCACCACTGGGAGACACCAAAGTGTACTCAGGATCTCTCTATCATTTCTCACTACTGACTGCAATTCTACAACGACCCCAGCAATTGCAGGTTGGGTGCAGTGACTCACATCTGTCATCCCAGCACTTTGGGAGGCCAAGGTGAGAGGACTGCCTGACCCTAGGAGTTCAAGACCAGCCTGGGCAACATAGTGAGACCTCGCCTTTACAAAAAAATTAAAAAAAAGAATTACTCGGGAGGCTGAGATGCTGGCAGGATCGCCTGAGCACAGGAGGTCAAGGCTGCAATGAGCCGTAATCACACCACTGCACTCCAGCCTAGGCAAGAGAGCGAGACCCCAAGTCCAAAAACAAACAAAACACCAGGAAAAAAAATTGGGGGATGACCAGAAAAATGAAACCAGACTGGCAAAACGCTGTTCCCTGTTAAAGCTGGATGAGAGTCCATGAAATTCGGTCCACTAGTCTCTTCATCTTAAGTATGTCTGGAACATCTTATCACAAAAAGCTTTCAGCTAGGTGTGGTGGTGCGGCGCCTATTGTCCCAGATACTTAGGAGGCTGAGAATTTCTTGGGCCCAGGAGCTTGAGGCTGCAGTGAGCCATGATTGTACCACTGCCCTCCAGAGCACAGGCCTGGTCTGCAGGGGTGTGTGGCCTTGTACAGGGACCCAGCTGCTCCCTGCCTCGGTTTCCTCATCCCCCACTGAGTTTCCTGACACAGCACATCTCAGCTGCGAGGCTCATGGAGGGAGAGTGTGTGAGAGGGCCAGGGATGGGGAACTCACTTGTAGCGCAGTCGCTCCTCACCACTGGCCGGCGGCTCCTGGGTGACCCAGGCCACCATGGCCTGCAGGTGGGGCGGCTGCAGCAGGAAGTCCAGCAGCTTGCGGTTGACGACCTTGCACTCCTGTAGCACGTCCTCCTCGTCCAGCAGCTCGGGCAGGCTCAGGTCTTCCCGCTCTAGCAGCGTGTCCAGGTGAGAGCTCGTGTGCAGGTCAAACTTCCAAAACATGGCGCCCTGCAGACATGGTGCAATCAGCACCATGTCAGCCATGCCCAGGGTAGGCCACGACCAGAGGGGCCCAGCGCCCACCAAGGCTTAGCCTGACCACACCCAAGCTGCCCATGAACTCAGCACCTCCATCACACATGCTCCAGGCTCCACCGAACACCACGGGTCTCCCACCAGCCCATCTACCTGCCTCCACCTCTAAGCCGCTGCCCACAGTCCAGGGGTCACTTCCCACCTGAGGCCAACTGTCCTACCTACTCCTCAGCCTCAGGCCTGGTGAGTCAACCAGTGTGGGACACTGCGCAGAGAGGGTCCTCGGCCATGACCCCACATCTGGCTGGGATGCCCTGGGGGGCAGGGCCTGAACCCCTGGCTTCAGATTCGTGTCCATCTGGACTTGCTAGACAGACTCAGATGCCCATGACCTCTGGCGCACAGCAGCTGCACAGTCCAGCAAGTCACCCAAGGCTGAGTAGGAGTGGCGGGCGGGGGTGGGGGAAGAGAGGAAGTCTGTGCTGTCTCCAGGCGGTGGCCGTTGCCTGGGCACCACTCACACACAAACACCCCAGCCATCCTCTCACCACCCAGCACCTGGGCTCAGGACAAGGAAGAGGAAAAGTTTAGGGCAAGGTTCCCAGAATAGTCACTGACCAGGGCCCAGGGGAACCCAGGACAGGAGAGCCAGTCTCAGGGGAAGAACATAGGGAGTTTACCTGGCTCAGAGCCTGTCCCCATCTGGAGTTGGCTCCCACCCCTGGAGGACGGTGTCTGGTTCCTCAGCCTGGTGGCACCACCCCCCATAACTAACCAACACACATGAAGCACTTTCCAGGCACCAGGCAATGTTGTCCTGGGCTCTGTTGCACCAACACCTCCCTCCACAGAAGGACACTACGAGACTTCCAAGCAGACCTGGCCTAGAACAGTCTCTCGGCTGCTGTGCTCTGATGATCCGTGACAACAATCCTGGCTCTGTGCGAGTGCTGTGCACATGATGTCCAAGCTCACAAGAGCCCCGCCCAGGAGAGCTGTCACCCTTCCAACACAGGATGGGGCAACTGAAGCCCCCGTGAGTCGGGCGGCTTCCCAGCACTTCACAGGCCTCAGAGGATAGCATCTGTGGCACTCTCACTGCAGGCAAGACGCCGACCAGACCTCACACTCATTACCTGCCTCCTGACAACTGCATGGCCACCCGAGGCAGAGGCCACCGCCCTCCAGGTCCCCACAGAGGTTGCTGAGGACACAGTAGGCCGGCACAGGAGGCCTCTTCTGCAGTCTAGGCCTGTCAACACCAGCCCTTCTCCTCCAACACCCTTCCGCGCCTTCTCTGCCCACCCCTCCTCCTGGGCCCAGCCACTCCCCTCTGCCAGGACCCGCCGCCTCCCCGAGTCCCTCTCACCTGGCACCTCAGCACCCCCTGACCTCCCAGGCCCAAGGAAGAGGGATGGTTGAGCTCGCTGTCAGGGCAGAGTCCCATAATGGTCACAGACTCCTAGCCCTCCTTTGCTCTCCTTCCTGCCTTGCCTGCAGCCAGGATCCCTGCAGGAGTCTCCCTCACCAGCCTGGGTAACCATCCTAAGGTTGGGCTTGGGTCAGGTGGGCCTTGCCCCCAGGCTGCCCGTCTCCCTCGGTGACTCCAAGTCAACAACCCAAAACCTGGCTGACGACAACTGCAGGTGGAGCACAGAGAAGAGCCTGTGGCCAGTGACAGCCACAACAGCAAGAGGACAGGAGACCACAGCAAACGCTAGACCCGAGATGAGCAAGGTATTCAAGAACCCCACTGCTCTGGGCCCTCCTGGGTCCTAGTCCACAGCACCGGTGACTCAACCCTCATCCCTGCCCTTCTGCTCTTCCCACTCATCACTCTGAAGCAAAACTTGGCACCTCTTGATCGCTATGGCCAAAAGCCTGGCAATGGCTCCCCTAGTCTCGGCATTCAGGGCCCCGAATCCTGGCTCCCGCCTACACCCAGCTTACACCTGCACCCAGCCTCCACCTGCCCAGTGACAAGCAGCCCCCTTGGGCGTTCATCCAGGCTCTTGAGCCCCTGCCCCATCCTTTCAGCTCGCTGACTGACCTCTGTGCCTCAGCTCACCCCAGCACTCCTGGGGGCACCATGCCCAGTGCCACCTCCCCAGAGCAGGCTTTCAGTGTTCCCAGGGCTACCTCCTGCACGCCCCAGGGCCCCCGAGCATACCCACAGGTCTAGGAAGATGGGGGGCATTCCCGATACATCAGGTGATGATGATGGTGCCACTAGCTGCTGAGCCTCAGCCCTGCCATCATATCGATCGCCCTTTTTTTTTTGAGTTGGAGTCTCACTCTGTCACCCAGACGAGTGCAGGGGTCACTCCTGGCCACTGCAGTCTCAACCTGCTGGGGCCAGCGATCCTTCCGCCTCAGCCCTCCAAGTAGCCAGAATTACAGGCACACGCTACCATGCCCAGTTGACTTTTTTATTTATTGTAGAGATGAGGTCTCGCCAAGTTGCCCAGGCGGGTCTCGAACCTGCGGGCTCAGGCAACCCACTCATCTCAGCCTTCCAAAGCGTGGGATTACAGGCTGAGCCACTGAGCCCGGCTTCGATCGCCCTTCTAAGGACTCCACAGTCGTCCCCCCACCAACTCTCAGAACTGCCCCCATGGAAAGACTGCTGACCCCATTACAAGAGAAGAAACTGAGACACACCAAGGCGATGGCTTGGGCTCAGATGTGGGGCTGGCAAGCAGCAGAGCCGGCAGAGCCCCCAGAAGGTGCATTCTTGGGGGCAGAGCCCTTGTATCCGGCTGGGCCTGTGCAGCAACACATATGGGAATGAATCAGTGGGCTGGCAAGGCTCTCATCTGCCTGAGGGAGCAGCCCCTGCTCTGGTCCACCCCAACTTGATTCTTACTTGAGGAGTAGTTTTTCATTTCCAGGCCAGCCCTGGAGGGACTTGGCTGGACACTGAACCAACCTCGCCCCAGCACCCAGTGTTACCCCGGCAGACCCTCTGGGCTGGGGGAGGCTGTGGTCCTCAGGCCCTGCCCCCACCACGCCTACCACTGCCCGTAGCTGTGATGCTCAGCCATTCCAACGCCTGAGGTCTCCTCCAGCCTAGCACCATCAGAAGTCGGAGGCTTCCTCCAGCTGCCTGACCAGGACCCACTCCCGTACGCCCCCACCCAGGCTGCTCCATCACTCCCCAGCTGCAGCCCTCCCGCGGCCCACACCCAGTCCTGCACAGGAAACCAGACTCTGCCGCTGCCACACCAAAACGTCAGCCCCCCTTGCACCCACTCCCCAACCGCCCCACGCTGTTTTAAGAACACACTGAGCCGGGTTAGGTGGCTCAGCCTGTAATCCCGCGCCTTTAGGAGGCTGAGGTGAGTGGATTGCCTGAGCCCGCAGGTTCGAGACGCACCTGGGCAGGCGAGACCTCATCTCTACAATAAATCAAAAAATTAGCTGGGCATGGTAGTGCACGCCTGTAGTTCCAGCTACTTGGAAGGCTGAGACAGAAGGATCGCCAGAGCCCAGCAGGTCGAGGCTGTGGTGGCCGGGAGCGGCCACTGCACTCCAGTCTGGGCGACAGAGTGAGACTCCAACTCAAAAAAAACAAAAAACAAACAAACAAACAAACAAAACAAGAACACACTGAGCCAGGGTCCGCCTCAGCACCCATCCTGACAACAGCCTTCTGCTCACCCTGCGGGTCTCTTGCCAAGCATCCAGTTCACGCAAGGGCTGTCTCTAAGCAGCCTGCTGGAGAGCACGGCTACCTCTGTCCACGCGGCCTCCCTGGGATGTGCGGCGACCCACACAGCGCTCACCCACCACCTGGAAGCATCTCTGCCACACAGTGATGACGCACCAGGGCACTAGGCTTTCCCTAGAACCTTCCTAGTAGGTTACTGCGAGGGCCCAGAGCAGCACCCGACAGAACCTGGCACTGTGGTAACTGACACCTGCTCACGAACACCAGCTGAGACAGGCCAGCCAGTCTCCCAGGTCCCTGCCCCTCTGAGGCGGGAGGCCTGCACACCTGCCAGGGCATCTGTAAAGTGAAATCCCTTCTGCCCCACCGCTCCTGCGGGCTCCCTGAGTCACGAGGCTGAGGCAGGTGCAGGAGCACCCAAGGCAGGCTGGAAGACGCGAGTGGCCTCAGGGCTGACCTGGGAGCTGGGCGTGGGCCCACATGTTGGGGGAGGGCAAAAGCACGGTGGCTTCACTGGGGAAATACACCATGGGTCCCTCCTTGCCCCAGGACCTTCCTTCCTGTGCACAGCAGTGACTCCCTGGCTTTGCCTACATGCTGGACCTCCTCACGGGACCTGCCCCTGCTTCCTGTCCCGATGAGGAACGTGATGGGCCGACCACCGAGTGCCTGTGTCACAGGAGAAAACGAAGGCTCAGCAAAGGTGACTCACCAGCACACGACGGCGGGGAGGCGGGGGCGGGTGGATTTCCTGATCTGGGCACACCTGGGACCAGAATAATCTCAAGGGCCAACCGCCAAATTCATCATGACTCTGCCAGTTTCCGGCCTGCGGCCGTGCGAGTAAAGCAGCCAGACACAGAGACACAGCCTCCTTCTCAGGGAGTTGCTCACCCAGTGGTGAGGAGGCCAGGCAGACTCACGGGCTTCCTTCAAGGGAGACGGTCACCCGGTGGTAAGGAGGCCAGGCAGATCCATGGACCGCCTGAGCCAAGGGAACAAAGCCAGTCACAAGAAACCACATGCTGTGTGATTCCATCTATGTGAAATGTCCAGAATGGGCAAATCCATTGAGACAGAATGTAGATTAGAAGTTTCCGGGAGCTGGGGGAGGGGGCTTCCTAAAAGCAGCAGGGTTTCCTTTTTAGGGGATTAAAAAAATGTTAGGAGGCTGGGCCCAGTAGCTCAAGCCTGTAATACCAGCACTTTGAGAGGCTGAGGTGAAAGGGTTGCCTGAGCCCAGGGGTACGAGACTAGCCTAGGCAAATTGTTGAGACCTCGTCTCTACAAAAAATTAGCCAGGTGTGGTGGCATGTGCCTACAGTTCCAGTTACCTGGAAGGCTGAGTCAGAAGGATTACCTGAGCCCAGCAGGTCAAGGCTGCAGTGGCCATGAGCGTTCCACTGCACTCCAGCCTGGGAGACAGAGTGACTCGGACTCAAAAATGTTATAAAATCAGTCATGGTGATGGTTGTACAATGCTGTGAATACACAAAGAACCACTGAATTGGGCACTTCAACAGATGACTAGCATATGGCATATGAATTACATCTCAATAAAAACTGTTGCCTGAAGGATTTTTAACAAAGCTGCCAGCCCAAGGCTACCACGGCGGGGTAGGGCCAGCCTCAGGTCTTGCCCTACCTCCCAGCCGCCCAGAGCTGACAAGGCAACCGCTGGCCCCCACTGCCATCGCCGAGCTGGGCAAGTCCTCCACCGCAGGACAGAGGACAGCACCAAGCAGCACCTCCGAGAGCCCATATGCTGCACCCACAGGTGCCCGTCTGTCTCCAGCAAGACACGGTGGAGAAGTTTCACCGTTCCCACTTGGAAGACAGGTAGAGCCACAGGGCCACCAGGAGGTGGCCCTACCAGGGCATCTGTGAAGTAAAGTCCTGGTGGCAGATCCAGGAAGCTGCCCGTCCCAGACAACATGTCCTGGTATCTAGACAAAGGCAGTTCTCACACCAAACTCTGTCGCTCACTTCAGAGACACCTGGTTCAAGGACACAGGCCACAGCCCCACCCTGAGACCCTCCCTGTCCACATCACCACCTGCTTCAGGGACGAGGTCAGGCTTTCCTCCCGAAGTCAGCTTTCCAGGGAAGCGGGGCAGGAGGGCTCTGGTGTGTGGCATCCAGGGCCTCCAGGAGCCCAGGCAGCCCCGTGAACCCTCAAACTCAGAGGAGGCTGACGGAGTGGGGGTAAACTCCCTGCAAGCACCAGTTCTCAGGTTCGAAACAGAAGGAAGATGCAAACACAAGAGGACTGGAAAAAAATGCTTTCCCACCACAAACACTCAAGCCACTCTGGCCTCACGCCCTCACTCTCAGCTCCCATCATCCAACTAGATGGAACTTGCTGGAAACCCTGGGAATCAGGTGAGGTGGGTTCCATTCTTACTAACTGGGTGATCCTGAGCCAGGCACTTGGTTTCTCTGAGCCTTGTTTCCTCATCTGTGCAATGGGAACACAGCCCACTAGGGCTGCTGTGAAGACACCCTGAGCTAAAGCAGGTCCTGATTCGGTAGGTGCTGGGCAGGTAAGCCTCTCCAGCTGGCCCCAGACCTGGTTCTGACTTTCCAGCAGGACAGGCAGGAGACAGTGATCCCCCAAGGGACAGCCTAAAAGCAGGAGAGTCTGCCTAAGTGACTCCAGGGCTTCTCAGCTCGTCCAGACACGCCAGCAGGAACCTGCCACCCCCGTTCTCTCTGCAACTTGTAGCAACCTCAAGAAAGCGGAAGTGACTACCACTGGTTGTAGCGACCATTTGAAAACCATGACTCTGGCTGCAAAAGGAAGAAGGGGAAATCGTAAAGAGAAAGGAAGCCATTAAAAACGAAAACTACCTCTGCCGGCTCCCTGCACCACCCTGCCCGGGTCACCCCTGGTTTCTCCTGCTGCTGTGGCACTCAGAACTGACAGAGCCACCCTCGGGAGCCCACCAGCCCTGCCCTTCCCAGCTGAGACAGGGGCAGCTGCGCTCCCAGAGCCGCCCCCACACTGCCACTGTCTGTCCACCCAAACACTGCTCTGTCTGACAGGGCCCATCCTTATCTGTCCCCCCTTCCTAACCTGCCCCAGCCCCAAGCGCCCGTAAATGGAGGTCAAGGGCACACAGGCCTCTGGGGGGCCTCCAGGGACAGCCACCTGAGCTGCCCTGAAGCTTACAGGACTCCACCATTGATCGTGCTGGCAGCCCTAGAAGGGAAGAAAACCCAGTGCCAGCAGGGGGGCACCAGCATCAGCTCCTACAGGGCCGTGACTCAGGAGATGCAAGACTACCTTGCAATGCCTCCAGCCAGCTTGCGGCCAAATCTGAAAGGGCTGGGTACACATGATTCCAAGGCCAGGGTGATAGTCATGGCATCCCCACCACCACTTGGCAGGGCCTCGCTGATTGCAGAACCCGCCACCCACCAGCAAGACAGGTGCCAGGAACACCCATCTGGAAGAGGGGTCACTGTGGCCAGAGAAGGTGCACCACCAGGCTAGCCCAGCAGTGTGAGGAGTGGCTCTGGAAAGCCCAGGGCAGATCCCAGGTAGAGGGCACCTGGGCACCTCCCACTCTGGCCCCAGAGTCACACCCTCCCAGGGAGGAAGCAGCTAGTGTCCAACTCCAGGGGATGGAGCAATCAGGAAACAGAAGTCTAGCGATAGCTGGCAAGGACAGGGGAAAAGGCCTGGACACTCACACTCAGAACTTGTCTCCTTGGACACTGGGAGAAACTAAAAAAATAAATAAAAAAGAAAAGAGCTTATCTCCTGAATTAGTCACAGGTTTAAAGGGAAAAAAAGTCCAACCAACAGATTTTGCAATACCTCTTAGAAAAACAGAGGTGCAGAGTGAGTACTCCAGTGTGATCTGACCTGAAAGGCCTGGGTTCACATCTCACCTCTCCAAGGTGAGACCTCTGTGAGGCTCAGGCTGAGGACCTCAGCACACTGAGCCTCCGTTTCCTCATCTGCGAAACACCCCACAAACGGGGTTATTGTAAGGCAACACTTTCTAGGGGAAGACCCATAAAACTGGTGTGCACAGGGAAGACCACATGTGGTGTAGAGAGGAGAGTGTGCCCCCATGCCGCGTGATGTTGGGGACCGCACAACACCTGAATGGCTCCTCCTGTGTCCTTCAGGGCACAGTGCAGACACCCCTTCTTCCAGGAGGTCTCCCCAAAGTATCAGGGACCTGCTCTGTGCTGCTTCTGTAGCCCCTGTGGTACCCTATGACAGCATCTGAGCCTTGGCTCTGTGACAGGAGGTACCTGTCCAGTCATCTGCCTCCCACTGACTGATGTCGATTTCCCATGATCCAGCATCAGGTGGTACTTGTTGAATTAATGAAAGCCAGAAGCAAGGGGTCTGCTAAGGCCACTTGGCTACAGATCCCCCCAAAATAGAGGGGGGGCCAGAAAAGCAGCTTCTCCCCTAGTGGAAAAAACCAGAAGACCCAACCAAAACTAACCACCAAGAAGAGGACAGTAAATCACAAAACAAAGCCCACACGAATCACACCTCATGAGGTCCCCTAGCAGCTCAGCCAAGACCACATCTGTCCCCAGGAATTGGAGCAGGGCGCCTCTGTCTGCACCTGGACCGGACAGCTCTTGGTGGGGTTGGGACTGGACGCCTGTGCACTATAGGGTGCTGTGCAGCAGCCAGGCCTCACCGCCAGCACTTGGTCCTGGCAGCACTCCCCTTGACTGTGACACCCCCAAAACGTCTCCAGACACTGTCAAGGGCCCCACTGGGGGGCCCAGCTGAGAACCACAGCAACAATCCCAAGTCAGACAGTAACTGGAGAGCTGATTCCAGAGCACTTCCTGGGCCCCGGCTGCTACTAGCTTCCTCAAACACGGCCCTGGGGACAGCACTCCTGCCACCCACTCCCAGACGGAGGGATTGACGGCACTGGGAGCTGGACAGGCCTTCTGCACAGGCAGGCAGTGTCCCCTACACCCCAGGTCTGCACTAGGACTCAGCCTGCACAGCCCCTCCTGAGCCCACCAAGCTTCCTGACTCAGGCAAGCTTCCTAAGCAGCAGCACAACCCCAGCTGCCACCCTCAAGATCCCAAGGAACACCCCGTTGGGTGGGAGCATGAGGTACATGCCCCAACGCACAGTGTGTCTTCAGGCAGCCGTGACAGGCGTTGGTGGCGAAGAGCGTGGGTGGACGCAGTCCCCTGCAGGTTCTAAGGAACTCAGTTTTCTCATGGCAGCTTCCTTTCCAGAAACATCCTGCCTTTAGGCAGGTGTTAGAGGTGCCGTCCCCAGTCAAGAGCCAGCAGGAGACCCTCCCAGAGGTCCCCCTCTGGGCCCAGTCCACCTTGACATATCTGCATGTGCCGCTCTGGCCCCCTGGAAGGCCCTTCTTCCCACTCTCCATCTGTCAACGCCTACTCATCCTTTCTAGAGAGAGAAAGCCACCGGCTGGCCAGTTGCATCAGTCACTCCGCCCTGTGCCCCCTGCAAGTGCCCTGCGTTACCCCTATCACAACACGGCCATTGTGACTGTCCCACCGGGCTGTGTCTCCCCGGGGACGGCACCCCCTCTGGGGCAGGGCCCGTGGCCGGCGCTCAGCGCCCTCCTCCGCGCCCAGAGTCCGGCCTGTCCTCGACAGGCCGCATCTCACCAACAGTCAGTCGGGGGGGGGGGAACCACGGTCAAGGCCTGAGCCCGAGAAGGTGGCACGAGTGAGGGGTGGCGGGCAAAGGACGGAGGTTAAGGAGGCAAAGATGAGGGCAGCCAAAGGGAAGAAGACCCTCGGGGGGACGGGGGGGGGGGTTGAGTCCAGGCACTAAGGAGGGCGGGCTGGAGGGAGGGGGGGAAAGGCCGAGGGAGGAGAGACTGCGAGAGACGTGTAGGAGAGCTGGGAAGGGAAGACATTAGCGGAGTTGAGGGACCAGCGGGGGAAGAAACTTGGAGACTCGGCGAGACTAAAAGGAAGGAGACCGGGGTCGGGGAAGGGGAGCCCCAGGGAAGGAGCGGAAGGAGCTGAGGGAAGACAGACGGGCAAGGCGCTCGAGGCGAGAAAACGGAGGCGGCTCGAAGGGAGGGAGTCGGGGGGCCGGCGCATGGAGGCGGGCCGCTCACCTGCGAGGGGGGGCGGCGGCTCCTCGCACTCGGG